ATCATATACACTATATATAAAAATGGTCCTCTTCCAGCGTCTGTCAAGAAAACACATTGACAAACAAAGGTTATGTTTGGGAGTCAAGATTATATTGTTGTTGGTTTTTTTTGGTGGAAACCTTCATTATGTGTCATTGCCATTGAAAGGTGTTACTGTGGTTATGTAATTAATGTTTTGCTATCAATCATTTTCATTCATGTAAATTCTAAACCTTAGCAATTGACCTAATATTTTTATTGTGGCAACAGTGTGTTACATAACACAGTTTCAACATGACATTGCAATCTCTCCAGTTCTGCACTGTGGAAGGCTTCATCACTGCACTGGTTGATGAATTCCCTCGGGTTCTTCGAAACCGCAGAGAGATCTTCATTGCAGTTGTCTGCCTTGTTTCTTATCTTATCGGACTGTCCAACATCACACAGGTACTCCTTTCTTACTAGTTTGCTGACTTTTTGACACATTACTGGCTAGTTCACTTTTAAAACGTAGCCACTTCTTTGTCCGTCCAACACTTGGGTCCAGAGCAGGACGTTTCACTCCTAGAAACTATTTTGTATTTTTAATTGAAGGTGGCCCAAAAATGAATCCTAATGCTTTAGTCAACCACCTGAGCTATGCTCTAACACCCCCTTCAGGCCAAAACTTTCACTTACAAAACATAGTGATGGTGTGAAGTCCACAGTGCAATGAAAATTGAGGACAGAGAATTAACCTTTAAAATTTCTTACACTCCCTGAGCTTTCCTCTTGAGCCACATTCCAGTCAAAATGCCACTTTTGCAAACAAAACATACTAATGAATGATCTTTATATTAGGTCAAGGTCATGATTGCCTATGACACTTGAATACTATGCATTGTCTCTCTGCTTCTTCCACACTAGATTCCCATCATGCCACATGCATAGCCCTGGTAGACTGATGTAGTTTCTGTACCCTTATCGCTGCTCCAGGCAGCATAAAACATATCAAGCTTCATAGAGCAGGAGCTGCATCCAGTCAGTTTGAGCTGATCCCCGTAATAACTTGATAGGCGCAAGCGATTGTGGACAGGCTCGCAGTCTTTCAAGAAGATGCTTGATTTACAGTGGTCTATGCTGCACTATCACATTAATGCAGTTTCCACGACAAAGCCTTAACACCAATTCTGTCCTCATCAATGAGACATCGCTAACATGCACCAGCCAAAGCTAGTGGTGCTCTCACCCTTGATGTTGTTCCACTTGACTGATTAGGCAGTGTCCTGCACATCCAATACTATAATTCCTTCCTCTATGTTTTCTCCTTCTTCTGTCTTATCATCATCCTATCTCTTGTTTTTTCCTGTCTTTCTTCATACTATAATTCCTTCCTCTATGTTTTCTCCTTCTTCTTCTGTCTTATCTTATCCTATCTCTTGTTTTTCCCTGTCTTTCTTTTTACAGGGTGGAATCTATGTGTTCAAGCTATTTGATTACTACTCAGCTAGTGGAATGTCTCTACTCTTCCTGGTCTTTTTTGAGTGCATCTCAATTTCATGGTTTTATGGTGAGCCACTCATACTGCATGTGTCAGTTTTCTTCTTAAGGATATGTTTAAATCTAAAAACTGACATACCTGTGTAAGGCATACACACTTCTGATTTGTTCAAGCTATTTGATTACTACTCAGCTAGTGGAATGTCTCTACTCTTCCTGGTCTTCTTTGAGTGCATCTCAATTTCATGGTTTTATGGTGAGCCACTCATAATGCATGTGTCAGTTTTCTTCTTAAGGATATGTTTAAATCTAAAAACCGACATACCTGTGTAAGGCATATATACTTCTGATCAGAAGCAGTTCATTGTGGACTGTATCTACGGTATATCCATGCAACAAGATATGTTGTAACAAAAACAGCATTCATTATGCTTTATTTTTGGTTCCAGGTGTGAACAAATTCTATGACAACATTGAGGAAATGGTTGGTTATAGGCCCTGTTTGTGGTGGAAGGCCTGCTGGGTCGTTTTCACTCCACTCGTTGTGGCTGTAAGTGATATCTGTGGGCTAAATACAACATTTAATCAGCTATGTAAAATACAAGTTTGGCAAAAATCCTATTAAGAATAATACTGATGCATTTGAGGTCCCTGGAGGAAGGTATATTTTAAGAATGATTTCTGAACTACTGTATACCAAGGGTGACCATTCCCTCTAGCTTGAAGACCATGCAGACAAAACCAAATAGACCCATTCCTTTTAATAAGTGCATTTTAAATGTTTGGTTTTATTTACTGTGGGTGCTCCCAGCAAGTCGTCCAACTTGTACAACCTATATGGTCGTTTTTCTCTTCCTTCTCATTCGACCCATAAGGATGTATCATTAAATAGCACTCCTACAGGTCATGGGAGGAATTGCAAAAATCCTGCCAAAATTAACGTCAACATACAATTGCACTACAGGCAAGCTTTACAGACCTTTGTCATCATAGAAACAGCCATAAACATAATAAAGCTAGCAACTCCTGTCCAAATTAATAGCAGTCACTAGATGTCATCAAACTATGACATAACATTTTGTCATGAGAGCCTGCTGGCACAAATGACTTATACAGTTGTATTTTACAGAAGGACTGTCTCCAGTGAACATTTGAGACTAGAATCTTATTCTGAAGCCTTGTAGCATTTCTTCATTTGTCAATAAATCTTAATTTGCAGTCTTTTAGTTAAATGCCATGTACATGAATGAACTGCAGTTTTAAATGCATTCAAAGCTGTCTATGGGCATGATGATGAAGATGCTGAGAACCCTTCTCTTGTCCCTCTCCTGTACAGGGAGTCTTCTTGTTCAGTGCGGTGCAGATGGTTCCGCTCACTATGGGTGATTACGTGTTCCCAGCCTGGGGTCAGGGGGTCGGCTGGTTCATGGCCCTCTCATCCATGACTCTCATCCCTGGCTACATGGGCTACATGTTCCTCACACTTGAAGGCACATACAAAGAGGTAAGATCAGTGTGGATGCCTGATGCCTGCAACACATTCCAAAAAAAAAGTTGGGACGGTTGCATTTCAGGGCCAGTAATGAGGTAAAACTATGAAATGATTCCATTTGAAACAGGTGATTGCAATCATGATTTGGTACAAAAGTGGCATCCAGGAAAGGCCCAGCCCTTTAGGAGCAAAGATGGGCTGCCGGTTTGCCAACATATGTGTGAGAAAATTATTGAAATGTGTAAAAAAAATGTTCCTCAAAGAAAGATAGGGAGGGATTTGGATATGTCACCCTCTACAATGCATAACACAATTAAAAGATTCAGTGCATAAAGGGCAAAGGCGCAAGCTTAAACTGGACGACCGTGCTCTCCAATCCCTCAGACGACACAGCATCAAGAATCGTCATTCTTCTATAAGTGATATAACAACATGGGCTAAGGATTACTCTGGCACACCTGTGTCAAGCACTACAATATGTGGTTATTGTACATCCATAAATGCCACTATAAGCTGTACTGTGCCAAAGGAAGCCCTATGTCAACAGTCTCCAGAGGTGCAATCAACTGCTCTGGGCTTGGAGGCATCTGGGATGGACAATCACACAGTGGAAATATGTACTGTTGTCAGAGGAATCAGTATTTCAGGATTTTTTTGTGTGTACCAGACCGAAGACAAAAAGGACCATCCAGACTGTTACCAGAAGCAAGTCCAAAAGCCAGAGTCTGTCATGGTATGGGGTTGCGTCAGTGCCCTCGGCAAAGGTCACTTACACTACTGTGATGCTCCATTAATGCTGAAAAGCACATAGAGATTTTGGAGCAACATATGCTGCCTTCAAGACAACATCTGTTCCAGGGACACCCATGATTATTCTAACAAGACCATGAAAAAACTCATACTGTGCACATTACAAAGGCCTGGCAGTGGAAGAAAAGGGTCTGAGTGCTGGACTGGCCTGCCTGCAGTCCCGACTTGTCCCCAGTAGAGAATGTGTGGCGCATTTTGAAACACAAATTGTTTCAACGAAGACCCAGAACTGTTACGCACCTTAAGACTTGTTTGTAGGAAGAATGGAACAAAATTATACCTGACACATTTAATCACTTGGTGTCTTCAGTCCCTAAATATCTTTTAAGTGTTGTGAAATGAGAACGGCAACATCACACCGTGATAAATGCTTTACTGTCCCAACCTTTTTTGGAACGTGTTGCAGGCATCAGGATTGAAGTGAGTGTTTATTTTGAACAAAGAGTAAAATTGATGAGGTATCACATCAAATAATGTGCTGCTGTATTGTTTTCAATGTAATACAGGACACATATTATTTACAAATCACTATTTTCAGTTTTAATTTTGATTTTACATACCTTCCCAACTTTTTCTTACTTAGGGTTATAGTTGATGCTGTAATAATATTTGAAATGTTTTTTGCTGTATTTGCTCAAAAGCAGTAAATTAATTATTTTTCTTTTAAATAAAGTAAATAGAGTTAACAGATACTAGCAACAAATAACACACATACCTGCATGTGCACATTGAATCTAAACACTATGAACACACATTGGACTGGAGAAAATATTTCATTTGCACAGTTACAGTATAAATATGTATACAGTGCCTTGCGAAAGTATTCAGCCCCCTTGAACTTTAAGTTAATACTTTGTAGCGCCACCTTTTGCTGCAATTACAGCTGTAAGTCGCTTGGGGTATGTCTCTATCAGTTTTGCACATCGAGAGACTGGAATTTTTGCCCATTCCTCCTTGCAAAACAGCTCGAGCTCAGTGAGGTTGGATGGAGAGCGTTTGTGAACAGCAGTTTTCAGTTCTTTCCACAGATTCTCGATTGGATTCAGGTCTGGACTTTGACTTGGCCATTCTAACACCTGGATATGTTTATTTGTGAACCATTCCATTGTAGATTTTGCTTTATGTTTTGGATCAGTGTCTTGTTGGAAGACAAATCTCCGCCCCAGTCTCAGGTCTTTTGCAGACTCCATCAGGTTTCCTTCCAGAATGGTCCTGTATTTGGCTCCATCCATCTCCCCATCAATTTTAACCATCTTCCCTGCCCCTGCTGAAGAAAAGCAGACCCAAACCATGATGCTGCCACCACCATGTTTGACAGTGGGGATGGTGTGTTCAAGGTGATGAGCTGTGTTGCTTTTACGCCAAACATAACGTTTTGCATTGTTGCCAAAAAGTTCGATTTTGGTTTCATCTGACCAGAGCACCTTCTTCCACATGTTTGGTGTGTCTCCCAGGTGGCTTGTGGCAAACTTTAAACAACACTTTTTATGGATATCTTTAAGAAATGGCTTTCTTCTTGCCACTCTTCCATAAAGGCCAGATTTGTGCAGTATACGACTGATTGTTGTCCTATGGACAGAGTCTCCCACCTCAGCTGTAGATCGCTGCAGTTCATCCAGAGTGATCATGGGCCTCTTGGCTGCATCTCTGATCAGTCTTCTCCTTGTATGAGCTGAAAGTTTAGAGGGACGGCCAGGTCTTGGTAGATTTGCAGTGGTCTGATACTCCTTCCATTTCAATATTATCACTTGCACAACCTCTGAGACTATCACAGTGCAGGTGCATTTATACGGAGACTTGATTCCACACAGGTGGATTCTATTTATCATCCTTTGTCATTTAGGTCAACATTGGATCATTCAGAGATCCTCACTGAACTTCTGGAGAGAGTTTGCTGCACTGAAAGTAAAGGGGCTGAATAATTTTGCACGCCCAATTTTTCAGTTTTTTATTTGTTAAAAACGTTTGAAATATCCAATAAATTTCGTTCTACTTCATGATTGTGTCCCACTTGTTGTTGATTCTTCCCAAAAAATTACAGTTTTATATCTTTATGTTTGAAGCCTGAAATGTGGCAAAAGGTCGCAAAGTTCAAGGGGGCCGAATACTTTCGCAAGGCACTGTACTGTATATGCTGGTGTATGAACACTAAGGGTTTTGGTTAGTGTTTTGCAGACATGTATGCTCATGCATCACTATACCCACCACACATCTATAGTATTAGCTGGTTTGAATTTCAATCTGCAGTGGGCTGCGAGGCAGGCTAAGAGTTTAGAGTGGTTTGCAAGTTTTTTCATTTTACTCAAAAATATTATTAAATGCTGTATGATCCAACAGAGGAACACAGTAGCATTTTTAGAATGTGCTGATAAATGTGATACATGTGCTTTGAGGATCAATTTGAATTACAGAGGTTAGCTTGGATGAACATTTAAGGTCACTTTGTAGATTCACCAACACAGTCTGGCTTAAATATACACTGATCCAGAAATTATATCATGTTCACTTACATTAAAAACATTTACAAAATGACTGGTAATGGAAGGAGTACCTGAAATTTCATTTAACAGGCAAAAAACTCTTTATGCTAGATGTGAAAATGCTCCGCTTAGCCCCATGTAATTTTGTTCTAGGCATTATAACTCCTCTGTAGCACTGAGTTTTGTAATGAGATAGGCATGCTGGGTAAAGACGTCATAAATTGCCATAAAGAGCAAAGCAGTGATAAAAGGATTAGTAAAATAGAGTTTCTAATTGGTTCTGTTAGACAATTTTAGATGCCTTTTTGCTATGACAGCCACTGAGTTCTCAGTAAATTACACTGATTTGTATGGAGCTGAATGCACTGCATTGTTATTGATCTGATGATCCTAATCAATGGTAGATAACGCCTTATCCAGAAATCTATTTACATAAAGAGCTTTTTGAGTCACAGTCATCATCAATGTGCTGAATAATAACCTTACATCTATACGGTCCCTGGTGACATTATAGCCACCACTGACAGAATAAATGGGCCATAATTACAGGCAGTGCAACCCAGGCTGTCAGAGGCGATGTGCAGGTGTCAGATCCTGCACTACCAGCTGATGGCTGATTGTCTAATTGTAGCAATCAGACAGCTGATTAGTGCTCCTTGCCCAGGCAAGGCTTAGTTTCACAAACACTCCATATACTTGCCTACTGTGCTGCAGTGCCTGAGTCCAACACTATCTATTGTCGAGAACATTTTGAAGATTCACCAAGTTTGGGATGTTTTGATTTAGATTTGCGAGCTTAGTAACTTTGATCCATGAAACATTTATTAGTGTCATGAACACTGGCCTTTATTTTCCTCTAGCAGCTATAGTTAAAGCTGTATTAATTCATATAACTGTATGCCACATGAGGAAAAATATCTTCCTTGATAGTGTTTTGCAGTAGGCTGTTTACACTCACACCATGAGGCCTTGCATGCAACAAGCTCACGGCTCTGTACCTGGTGTGTTTTGTTTCAACTTCTGGATTTGATCACACACTTTGCTGCTGTTCTGTCCCAAATAATGGTACATGATAGCATCTCAGTGTCTTATTTTCAGCTGTGTGATATCAGTGGAGGTACTGCCCCTCCCCTATGTTTCTGCCTTCCAGCGTCTACGGAAGATGATCAAGCCTGTGGTAATTGTGAAGGCTCAGGAAAATGGCCCAGACCAGCAGACAGAAAACCCTAATCAGAACCCTGTCAACGAGGAAGCCTACATCTAGACACTTCTGTCTGTCTCGGTCTCGACAGCCAGACTGGCACTCGACTACAGAAGAAATGTAATCAAGGTTTGGAGTGAACACCAGACGTCTATGTCTGCTTTTATTCACCTACCTCCTGGGGACACGTGAGACCAACCTGATTACAGTTATTTTTAGGGGCTCTTCTGTTTATTTGTATAATACAGAGTCATAAAACTTATGAAGAAAAACAAACTACCCAACCAAGTTGTTGTGACATTATGAATTTTATTATGCAAAAAAGTTTGTCTTTTTAGAACAGGAAATGTGATTTAGGAAATTACTGTATATTGAATCTATAATTTAAATTTGGAGGCCTACATTGATTCAGTAGTATTGTGCTACTTTGAAAATGTTAATAAATCTACTAAACTACAGTTACTGTACAAAGAAAAATATTGGTTATATGTATTTTGCTTGTACATGACATAAATACACTGAAATGAATGCAGTGAAGTAGGTGGGAAAAAACGTTATTTGAAAGTTTGTAAAGTGAGAATTGAATACTGACCATTTTATGGTAAAGACTAAATGGGAATGTGCAACAGATAAGGCCTGTATGTGTACAGTATAATTTAGCCAGACCATCACTCCCTTGCAGGATCCTGCAGTTCGTCTGAAATGTTTACCAACCGTGACTGGGGCTTCCGTTGAAAGCACAAGTACAGTATTGGAGCACCCAACTTCTTTTGGCTCGATCAAAACCTGTGACCACAGCAAAAATAACTTACAAAAGATACATAACAAGAGACTGTTATAATTGCTTCATTGTTTCCTAAAGAACATTAACTTTGTATGTTGTCTGAATATTTTTTGTAGAATCATTTTTAGGTCATTTTCTATATGTCAGAGTGAGAAAGACCAAATCATACTCAAGTTTGAAAGATTTCTGCAGACATCTGACCCACTGACTATATGTGGAATACATCAAGCATCCCCTTTTGTCTCACTAGAGCAACAGGGGACTAAATACAGCATCCACCTACAAGCACAGCTTGAATCTGTGAACTACCCCGTCTAACAGTAAAGGTGTAGCCATGACAGTACTTTGGTACAGTATTTCTGCCTGAAGAGGATTATTGAAAAATGTAGATTTTCCTCCTTCTTACAACTAATTAAGAGTTGTGTTGCAATAAGCCAATACTAATTCAACTCAATAATTTAAACTGTGAGAATGAATAAGGTGCAGTGGCTGCATTGTCGAGTGTATGACAGAGTTCTATGACAGCTATGACTATTATGACTGGAACCATTTACATGTGTATCTATTTAGTAATACATTCCTCAGGAACAATGTTGGATGTGACCAAATTCTCTCAGATACTACCATTATACACTGAAACAATTAATGCTGTATTTTAAAAATGCAACTACTGCCAAATTCCTGCCATTCTTTCCCATTAATCCAACATGCTACTTTAATTAAGCAGCAACAAAACAAATGAATCAGTGTTAAGTATTTGAACTTGTGTATGCTCAAAGCTGATCCAAATTGTTGCTTCTCTAAGCTAGCATAATATTTTTCAGTGTAAATGAACTCTGTTGGCCTTCACTCAGTCTTTTTAGTAGACGCCGTAGTGTTTCTATCCTGTGCGGAGTTCAGATTTCCAGTATCAGACTCGGAGAGAGAAACTTTGGGTCAGTCAAAGCTGGCAGAAGCACTGTTAACACAGCAGGACATAGCCAGATTCTATATAGGCCAACGCCACTGAATCTTCTCCTTTTTATAGGGTAAAAGAAAGCCTGTTCTTACATATCAAGTTTGTTTGGCAATATAAACATCTACCTGTAGAAGCAGACTTTGTGACAGACCACAGATAGCACTATATTACTATAAAGGAGGATAAAGAAAACATGTTTCTGTGGCAGCTACATGTGACAGAAATCAGATCGAATCAGTCCCATTAATTTACTATTATTTATGTTTTTTCAAAGATATGTGAATTAAATTGTGCAATGACAAAGGGTTCAGTGAATTTTGTATAGTTAGCATACCGCAGTTTTCTCTCTTGAATGATGTTGTAAACTGGACTGTGTAATACATGTATCTGTGAATGTCTGTACAACCCGAGTTTTCCTTTCATTTGTCTAAATGTTGCACAGAAAAATGTTATATTATTTGCTGTTTCCTGCAATAATATTATCTCAGAACTAAAGCACATATCTTTCTCAAATGTAAAAATTATAATTACAATAACAATAGAGTAATAATGAAGATAACACTAATGTAACAGAAATGTCTAGTCAGAGAATATTGTTTTGTATATTTCTAGCTGTTTCATTGGCCTAATGTAAAATATTCTATGTACAAATATAATAAATGTCTTTAGATGGTGTTCTATGAAAAAGCATGATTGCAATATATGTTATCAGCAAAAATAAATAAAGACCTATAGATTATAATATTTGTGTCATGTAATCTTTCTGTCAAAGGAGAAGGCAATATTCTGAGAAAAGTTCAGTTTTAAATACTCACAATCATTGTGCTTAGGCCTGAAAACCTTAGAAATTTGCTGTCTAACCATAAAGTTATTCTAGATGCCATAGCTCTGGCCCTCCAGTACTGCTGTGACAAAACTCGTCATTTTTGTCCTACCTTTAAGATTAGACTTAAGACGTTCCTTTTTGATAAAGCTTATAGTTGGGGCTGGATCAGGTGACCCTAAGCCTTCCCTTAGTTATGCTGCTATAGTCCTAAGCTGCTGGGGGGCCCCATGATGCTCTCCTCTCCTCTCCTCCCCTATATGCCACTATTACTATGCGCCACTAACTGTGTGTCTCCTCTCTCCCATAGTTGTGTCCTCTCTCTCTCCCTGTACCTTTCTGCAGGTTGTCCTGGCTCTGGAGCTTTACGTTTCTGATGAGTAGTCACCGGCCAAATCAAGTCATTGTGCTTAGGCCTGAAATTGTGTTTGTTGTATCTTGTTGCTTTTCTTCTTTTGTCTCTCCTCTATCCACTCACCCCAACCGGTCGAGGCAGAAGGCCGCCCACCAAGAGCCGGGGTCTGTCGGAGGTTTCTTCCGTTAAAGGGAGTTTTTCCTCCCCACTGTTGCCAAGTGCTTGCTCAAGGAGGATTTGTTGGGTTTTCCTCTATATTAATAGTGATAATAGTAAGATCTACACCTGACTTTGTAAAGTGTCCTGAGATTACTTTTGTTGTGGTTTGGAGCTATACAAATAAAGTTTGAATTTGAATTTAATGCAAAGGGTGCACTCAGTGTCATAAAAGTAGCAGAAAACCACACTTATCTGACTGAACTAGCTTGCAAGCTTTGCTCCATTTCAGTCAACCTTATCATGTGGAACAGATTATTATGTGAATGCAGAATATGTATGGAGTGGCATCTGGGCTCTGACATCACTATTCCACGCATGCAAATACAAGCTCATCACACCAGAGATTGGTCAGTAATGATAATAAAATCCTTCCAAAAACCACATTAGACCCAGTGCCCCGCACCAAATATTATGTGAAATCTTTTGTACGTGCACATGCTGCACAGTCATTGCAGGCAGTTTCCTGAATAGCATCTCAGTTTGCATAACAAGTGAGCACCAGTGCTAGTGCCTGGCTCAGTTCTACATATCAGTCAGGCGCTGGTCATAATACGGCTGCTCCCTTGCTAGGCACTTCAGATCATGGCCATTTGGCCATTACCAACCTGATGGAGGACATTACAAGTGCTATGGATGAGAAGAAATACACGATGGGGATATTTATTGACCTAAAAAAAGCATTTGACACAATCAATCATGAATTATTAATGGACAAGTTAGAAAAATATGGGATCAGAGGAATGGTTCTGAAATGGATTAGAAGTTATTTGACACAGAGGCGTCAATTTGTGAAGTTGGGTGAATACCAATCGAGTGAGCTGGATATTGTATGTGGAGTGCCTCAGGGTTCTGTTTTGGGACCTAAATTATGGTTGAAGGTTTGAATCTCGGTGCCTGCAGTCCATTGTCAAAGTGTCCTTGGGCAAGACACTGAACCCCCCCCCCCGTTGTCCCCGATGGTTAGCGCCATCGGCTCTGTACCGGAAACAAATTCCTTGTGTGTAACATACTTGGCCAATAAAGGTGATTATCATTATCCTTATTCATATGCTGTTTTATTTTAAGATTTTGCCCATGGAAATGCCTCCAACCCAACCAACCACCACCTCTGAACCACTCAGACTTATCAACTACAAGACAAACTAGTCATTCTCTGACACTGACCCAGCTTGCCTGCGTCAGTTTAACAAAGCACCTCTCTCCCATTAAATCATCCAAAGTGGTCTGACTATAGATGAGGCTAACTACAGCATAAGCCTCACTTCCAGAAGTCACAAGGGCCAATTATATCAGCCTGACTACTCTTCCCAACCTGAGTTCCATGGTGTGGAAAATACAGTTCCATTGGCTTCATCACTGGGGACAGAACAGGCTAGTGCTGTCTGGAGCCTGAGCCAAGCGCAGGCCAATTTGGCATGCAGAGGTCTATGGAGAATAAGCCCCATGAAATATATATATGATGTTCTTCAAATATGTATTGTTCCATGCTGCTGTCTTATCAGCCTGGCTCCCTCCTGATGTCATCTAGGTTTGGCAGAAAGAGACTCTACAGTGAATTGTGGGGGGCCAATGCACTAAGGTTATGAAGGAGAGAAACATATCCTGGTCATGCAGATACAATAGACTCACCTGCATTTATGATTTAAATCAATTCAAGGTTTTACTACTAAACAAACTCTTAAGTGTTAGTTTTAAAACAACTAGTTTTGAGCTATTCATTGGCAAATAAAGTCTAAGACTGCTTTTTATTTCTGTACTAAAGAGCCTTTCGCTACCTTTGTTTGCTTTCTCAGACCAAACACAACCACAGGACACTGGTGGCCTCTGGCTGTCATAGGGAAGAACTGCATTCAGCTATCTAAATCTCAAAATTAAAAGTCATATAAATTTAATGTAGCCATCAATTACACCTGTGCTTTTCCTACTATGACATGTCAAAATGTGCATTATGAAGAACTATTCAGGCCCAAATCAAATCAAATCAAATCAAATCAAATCAAATCATCTGCTGAGATTGATGCATCTGTAAACCCAGCTATCAAGCACAGCCACAAGGGATCAGGTTTAGCTAGAGCACAATTGTAAGTGTAATAATTCATTGATTTTGACCATGTGAAATACACCCATTTAAACAAATGACACTGCATAGATATCCTGAAAGCAAAAATATCAAACCTGGGAAATGTTAAATTACTGTTTTTTGCCACAACATACAGATGTATGTTTGCCTTGACTCATGTCTCTGATGTGTCTCAGCTGTTTCTATATAAGTATCTCTTTGTTTATAGAGTTAATCGTTCATAAATATTGAAAACCAATGATGGTTTATGTTTAGAAAGAGAGAGGGTGATTTTATAACTGGTCAAGCACATCCTCAGTTGTACTATAGTGGTGGTGACTATGTATATAGCATGCAGTAGTAGTAGAAGTGTAGGTTGTGGTGATGACGCAGATATGAGTTGAGCAGCTGTGGCAGCTCTAGTATAACAAAGGTAGTAGCAGCTCTGGAGTCAGCTCCGGGGCCCCAGCAGCACACAGACTGTGGAAATGGTAATCTGTTTTCTCTCTTGCCAGCTTGGCCAAGGCTGTCAGAAGCATGCACACTCTCAAACTGCATCACAGCCATTGGGCACTGACATGTGCAGCAAAGTGGAAAAAATAAGGTGGGGGTGGAGCAGGATTCTTTGCTCACTGTTCTTATAGCTGCAAGTTCTTTTTTTCTACTTTTTTTATATGAAAGATGTTGTGAGGTTGTGCAATTTACTTTGTAATGGAAAACAGCGTATGAAATTGGATGGTATATTAATGGAGGTTTTGGGAGGACTAACCCAGCCAATCAAAAACACTGACACAACCTTTGCTTAGACTTAAAGCACTTAATGAATTGGACTTCAATACCTGCAAATACAATTCCTTTCCTCTTTTCCTATTGAGAGTCAGTCTTTTTAACATGACCCTGGTCTGGTCATTGCCTAATCTCAACAGCATAGTTGTTATTGAAACCATGAAGATAAAGACACACAAATCTCAAGAAAGCAGTTATTTTAACTCAAACCATAATTTTTCCATAAACCTAGTCAAATGGATTTTGTGCCTAAACCCAACCACCTTAGACTACAGTGTATCAAATTGTAGACCTGTTTTATTTTTCAGTAATGATATATAATGGTTTTGGAGGGCACTGAAAAATTATGGTGTCCTGCTTGTGGGAGCACTAAATCAGAAAACATAAAAACCATAAATGATGCAATATATTTTGTCATCTAATTTTTAGGAAATTTTCAGATGTATGCAGCTATTACACAAAAGCTGGATATCTAGCATACACTGCTAAGTCCTTTTGCCCACGATCCCTTTTCCTACGGCTGACCAAAGGTGAATCTGAATATTAGTGAGTCTTTGTGGCTTTCCCTCTCTTCACCTTTGCAGCAGGCTACTGATAGCATATCTGCTCACTGCAGACTGACACACAGACAAGCAGTGAGGGAAGCAAATGCCCTTATCACTGCCTGCCATATGACGGGATTAGCTAGGGTGTTGTCTAACAAAGCATTAATGAACAGTTTTAATTGCTTGCATGGCATACCTTGCCAAGCCCTGCCTGAACTACACATACTACTCAGGGTTGTGACATGCATTTGTTGCATCTGAAATGGTGTCCAAGTGATACTGAATTTGTCTTATCCCATTAGATTCACCTAAAATTGTATAGAAATATCAGTCATATTTGTTCAGTGACTGGAAACTATTAGTTTGTGATGAGAGGTCCTTTTGTGCAGATTGCATCAGTGAACATGCAAAAACATGCAGCTTAGGTTGACTGGTGGCTCTAAATTGCTCATAGGAGTGAGTGTGGGTGTGTGTGGTTGCCTGTCTCTTAGTGTCAGCCCTGTGATTGATTGGCAGCCTGTCTAGGGTGTACCCCGCCTCTTGCCCAGTGTCAGATGGGATTGGCTTCAGCCCCGCTACAACCCTGTTCAGAATATGCAGTATAGATAATATATGGGTGGATGGTGAACAGCAATCTTAATGAACACAATCAGTAGCAATGACTATCACATTTTATAGATTAACTATAAGAGAATTAATTGATTTCTGATCAGAGTGACTGCTGACAGAAGCCTGGTCTGGAGCATGCTAGCTGCAAAAAAATAAATCTTCATAGTAACTTAATTTATCTTAATTTAATGTGCTTTCATGCAACTGAGTCAGAGCTAAATCCAGCCAGGATAACTGGAAAGTCCCTGCTTAATCCCTTATATTGTATTGATAAGAATTATACAGTCTGGATATATTGAGGTATGATGTTTAAATGTGATAAGGACAGGC